TTAAACAAATTTCTATCTATGTTCATACTTTTTTCTTCTATTATCTTTATCCAGTTTTAGGATTAGCACAATGTTGAGTTCTCTTCTCGTTTTTATCTGATCTACTATTTCATTTAATTTTTCTTGCACTGCTGTCACTAGAGTAAAGATCATGACCACACCAAGATTTTCCTCAGCCTGTAATGCTAATAATTTTTAAATGTCTATGACATCATTATCTTCCAGGATTTCCTGGGAAAATATTTCATAAAGAGGAGCTTCATCTGGGTATTTTTCACTGTATGTAAACTTGAGGGTAGTCTGGACAGTTTCATCATTTTTCTCCAGCCTCAGATGTCACAGTGATGGTGAAGCTGGGTGGATTTTCTGATAATACTGAAAAGCACTGGCCGCATCTCCAGAGTTTCTGTGAAGGAGTCGGGGTAGATGGACTCCAGAGCCTCCAGCTCGTTTCACTGCTCCTCGCTGTAGTCTGTCATCGCGGCCCTGGCTGCTGCCCATGGAGCACGCCGATGCTCAGGCAGTGCACCAAAGCCAAGTCCCCGAGGCCTCCAGCCAGGCCCGGCCTGCTGAGCCACAGGCCCGCGCCGCTCTTGGCCAATCACTCTGAATAATATACTTTTATCTGATTATCCCCTTGGGAGTCTTACGGCCCATCTCTGCTGGAGTTAGCAGAACATCCCATCTTCAAGATGCTTTGGCTCCTCAGAACTAGCAGTCTTCTGCCTCCTGAGTTAACCCAAGTAGATATTGATCCGTTGGGTGTCGCAAGGAACTCCACCATAATGTATTGAGCTTGTAAATAGATTGTTTTTTGTAAGGCATGTATGTGTGACCCAAATATACATTAAAAAGCCTACTGTATTCACATCTTCATTGAGAACAGATGTCATTTCTTTAATTTGGAGTCCATTGGGTTGACAGAGCAGTTTAGTAGTCAGTATATGAAAAAATGGCAAGAAATCTTTATCCAGAACCCAGTGGTTCTACTCCAGATGGTCACCCCAGGACACAGCAGGTGGAACATTCCATGGCTTCCATTTCCCTGTCCAAGGTGGCAGCTTCCCTATTTAAGAGAAAGGAAATATAACCAATCCCTGACTTTATAGATTCACACAGAGCTCTACTACCAGAACCCATCCCAGCTGCAGACTATAATGCACCTCCCTGGAAGGCCTGCAACTTTTTGGGTGTACTTTAAATTCTGCCTAACAAACCTCTTTGTGCCTCTTAAAAGGTTGGGAGTGATTCCAGGTACTCAGAAAGCTGAAGCAGATTCCAGAACAGCCTGAGAAATTTAGGGAGATAAGGGCTGGGAAAGTAAATAAAAAGGGCTCCCCTAGCATGCATGAGGTTCTGGGTTCAGTCTACAGTACCACAAGAAAGGGGAGAGGGGAGACATTGCACACATCAGTTCAGAGTCCATTAATCAACAGTCACATGGCCACACCCACCCACAAGGAAGCTGGGAAGTGAGGGATGTGGGAACCATTTGGGGTTTTTGTCAGGGACCGAGGGAGAGTGACTAGTAGAACAAGTAGAAAATTACCTTTTAAAGTGCCTGAAAGTCTTAGATGAAAGAGCATCCAGATTCTTCAGATTCTGTTCTGCATCTAAGATAGTGCTGTAGCCATGTACTAGTGTTTGCCTATAATATAAGAGAAGTCTTCACCTTTTGTTACTGTACGCTCATGTACATCCTGCAGCTGTGTACAATGAATGTGCAACACGTGAAGTGCCAGATCCCAATGCTGAAATAAAAGGTTGTGGGACAGTTGGGCAGAAATACAGTTAGAAACATGAGCAACAGACCCATGTTCTCATCCAACATGAGGGAGCCCCTCTGTACTTCACACCCTCCTGTCTTCTCTCCATCCCCAACACCTCCCCTCTCCTTAAGTGCTATTATATTAAGTATAATAAAGAATAAAGATGTAACGTGACTTTGTAGATCTCATTTTCATAGTGTTTCAAAGTGAGTTCCATTGGTATTTTAGGCAAGGCTGTCCTTCAAGTATTAAACTGCATTTCAAAAAAAATTGCCTGACATTGACAGTGCATACCCATAATCCCAGCACTCAGGAAGATGAGGCAGAAGGCTCACCAGGGAGTTCAAGGCCAGCCTGAACTACATAGCAAGATCCTGTCTCAAAAACAATTTTCTTTTAAATAAATAAACTGCATTTCAGGATGGCTGGCATCTGCTGTACCCAGAAACAATGCCAGGAGCAACTCACCCTGCCCCATTAGTCACAGGACAAAAGCACCCCAGTGTTTCCAAATCTACCTCTAGAGGGCAGTAGCCTTCCAGGTTGATGGAATTGATGGCTGACTTCTAGTTTTATTTGCAGAGAATGAAACAATTTCTTTTGAAGTTTTAAAACATTTTTTAAGTTTTATTTTCAGTTGACAATTGCATATATTTGTGGGATACAATGTGACATTTCAACATATGTACGTACACAAAGCCAGGAATGGTAGCACACACCTATAAGACCAGTCACTTGGCTGAGGCAGTATCACAAATTCCAGTCCAGCCTACTTAAATTGGTAAATTCTTGTGTCAAAAATGTTAAAATAGGTCTGGGGCATGTTTAATTTTTGCACCTCACTGTGGAGAAGAAAAAGTGATAATAGCAGGGCATGATGGTACACACTTGTAATCCCAGCACTTAGGAGGCTGAGGCAAAGAGGATTGCCTACCATTCAAGGCCAGCCTGGACTACATAGTAAGTTCAAGGCCAGCCTGCACAGCATAGCAAGACTCTGACTCAAAAAAAAAGTGTTCAACATCTTATAGCAGAGGTCATTAAAGATGTACCAAGAGCTAGAAAATGTTAAACTTCTTAATAATAGAGGGTGTTAAAGACTGCTCGATGATAAAGCAGATGATGTTAGAGATTTCTTGGACTTGAGAGAGTTAAAGGAAGTATGTGTCGTTGGTCACAAAATAAAATTGCTGAGGGCTTGGGATTTAGCTCAGTGGCCCCACTCCTGCCTCACAAGCATAAGGTCGTCCTGAGTTCGATCCCCAGTACTGGAGGTAAAAATAAATAAATAAAACAAAATTACTGAAGTAAATGCAAAATGAGAATTCTCACAGAATGCAGAGGAAAAGGCCAAAGAAATCAAGATATGAAAAGAGGAGATGTAGAGGGCCTGTACAGAAGACATACTCTACATGTAATAGGAGTACTGAAACAGAAGACAAAGCAAATGAAGCTGAAACAATAATTAAGAAAGTAACTGAAAATTTTCCAGAGTTGAACACGCAAATGAAAATGAAATAAAGTAGGCCTGCAAATGAAAAGGCCTCACAGGATAAGTTTAATTAAAATTTAGTGAAAAGAAAGCAACACCTAGACATCCTGTTGACTTTTTTTAGATTTCAAGGATGAAGAAAAACTTTTGCAAGTATCCAGACAGAAAAAACTGGTTACCTATAAAAGACTGACCTCAGTCAGATTTTTCTCTTGCAATTCTAGATGCCAAAAAATAAAGTAACAATGTCTACAGAGTTTTAAGGGGAGATAATTTTGAACCAAGAATTATATACCCTGCCAAGTTAGTTAGTATTTGTGTATGAAGGTAACTGGAAAACATTTTCAGATACTGAGGGGTTAAGAAAGTACTGTATACCAACCAAGAACCTTCTCTGAAAAATTTGCTGAATCATTTACTGCAGCCAACAGAAAAATTAAAGATAACTAAGAACTAGGGAGACAACTGAAAGATTTGACAGTAATCATTACAACTAGTTAAGAAGCATGAAGTTTAAAATTGTTAAAAATAAAATAAAATTGTTACATGCAGGGTAATTAAACTAAATGCGATATAGATTTGTACAAGCTAGATCTAAATTTTTCAGTTTATATAGTTTAAAAGCTCAAGTGCATTTCAAATATTCAATGTTTTTGTTTTGTTTTTATGGTATGGGGGATCGAACTCGGGACCTTGTGCTTGCCAGGCAGGCAGCGGCACCACTGAGCTAAATCCTCAGCCCCAAATATGCAATGTATTGGGCAAATAAATACTGCTTTATTTTTTCCATGTACTATAACCAAATGGACAAAAGATCAAAGTGTTTTGTCACTGTAGACAGATCAAATACAGTAAAGACATTCTAAATTTTAATCTGACAAAATTGGAAAATGATACTGTTTCATTTCCCTTATGTTTAATTACAGAAGAAAAAAAAAAACTAGTAACTCCACAATGTTAATACTGATAGTGCAAGCTGGATGTGGTGACACACGCCTGTAATCCCAGCATTCCAGAGGCTGAGGCAGGAGGATCACCATACATTTAAAACCAGCCTAGACTACATAGTGAGTTCAAGGCCAGCTTGAACTACAGTGAGACACTGTCTCAAAAAAAAAAAAAAAA